CACATTGGAACCATTTCAAATATGGAGTTTACTAGTAAGGATTGCATCCCCAAACAGTAGTTGAATCTCTACCACACAACTCAATATGCACTTACTACAACAAAACACATTGGATTTATGAAGATCATAAATCTTAGGTCTCAACTGTATACCCTGGAGCAGTGTTTCTCAACCTTGGCAACTTGAAGATGTCTGGACTTCAACTCCCAGAATTCCCCAGCCAATGCTGGCTGGGGAATTCTGGGAGTTGAAGTCTAGACATCTTCAAGTTGCCAAGGTTGAGAAACACTCGTCTAGATGAAAAATCACTTCCATTCTCATAATTTATTCATACAATCAGCCGTACAATTACTGATGAACATATAACAGTGTTTCTCAACCTTGGTAACTTGAAGATGTCCAGACTTCAACTCCCAGAATTCCCCAGCCTCGCTGGCTGGGGAATTCTGGGAGTTGAAGTCAGGACATTTTCAAGTTGCCAAGGTTGAGAAACACTGCCCTGGAGTATACAATAATCTGTAAACTGAGAAAACTCTGGTCAAGGTTAAAACAAAAGTGGGATGCTAGCTGAGAAAATACATTATATTAAAAAGAAAACCCCAACCCCGCCGTCGCCCCACGAGGGAGCTGGCGTTACTGGCAAAACCTCCCGATCTGAAAGGATTATCCCTGCCAGCCGTTATACACCCGTCAAGAAGGCCTGGGCGACGTGTCCTCGAGAGAAGAGGTAGCAAGTTCATGCCGCAATTTCTCCCCACGCGTTCGGAGCCTCAAGTCTTTAAATGTGGCTTCCCACAAGGAGGCTGGCGAAGGACACACACGGGATACGGAGACGAGGAAACGCCGCGTACTCTCTCCACAGAAAGGCAAAGGCTTTCCGGGGAAGGCGAGAAGCAGCAAACCCAAAACGGACGGAACTGGAGGGTGGAATAAATCACCAGGAAATCTGGGAAGCGTCCCGCTCTTTTTCCAGGTACCTAAACCGGCTCTTCTCTCCTTCAGAGGGGAAACTGCGGGGCAAAAGCAGCAGCAGCACCCGGGGAAAGATGACGGGGGGTGGGGGTGGGCAGTGCGGTAACGAGGAGAAAAGGCGCCATTGTGAGATGCCCCTCCGCCGCCGATTCGAGGAGTTTCGGGAGGCCGCATCATAAGCGCGCCCACTTCCAAATATCGCCCGCTTCCCGTTAATCCGCTCACGCGCCATTACTACCCTCCCTCCCGCCCGCTCGCCCACCGCCGCCATTTTGTTTCCTCCACACAATGGAGCGCGCGCGAGAGAGAGCCGAGCCGGAGGGGGGGGGGAGGCAGTTCTCCTCGCCCCGCAGGCCCCGTCCGTCCACCCGCTACGCCACCCCTGTCGACACGCGTGTTTCACGCCCGGCCCCGAGCGAAACCTATCCTCCCTGAGGAAATCCTCGGATTTTTAGCGCCGCCCTCCCCTAATCCATGCGGCCGGCTACTCACCGACCGGGCTAAGGCCCGTCGAGGGTGACCGGTAAGTTATCTCCACACGTCAATCAGCCGCTCGGCGACAGCAGAAGCGGCGACGCCGTCGACTTTGTTCGGCTGTAACTGCAGCGCCGTGAGGGGGGGGAGGGGTACGGCACGGAGGCGAAAGCGAGATCGGTCGCCCACGTGATCCGGAGATAGCCCCTCTCCTCCAATCAGAGAGGAGGGAGGAGGCGTCACTATGGCCTCGCGCGCCGGAGGGTTACGAGAGCTCCTCTCCCCGCTTTCGCCCCGCCCTCTTTTCCGCCTCCATTTTCTCTCCCGTATTGAGGCGCTGATGGCGCCGCTGTGAGGCTGCGCTGATCCCGAGCGTTCCGTGCTGGGGCGCTGGGTGGTTTTGGTGCAAAGAGAAAAGGGCACAAAGGGAGTGAAAAGTCCATATGTGAGGCGTTCGTCGCGAGGTTGTGCGCGCTAACTGAGAAATAAGTTACACTCTAATGCAGTTTTTCTCAACCTTGGCGACTTTAAGTCCTGTGGACTTCAACTCCCAGAAGCCCCCAGCCAGCGCAGTTGGCTGGGGGATTCTGGGAGTTGAAGTCCACAGGACTTAAAGTCGCCAAGGTTGAGAAACACTGCTCTAATGAGTGGAGGGAATGCCTTCAAAGTTAAAGGCATTAACCTGAGATTTAGTTGGAGGCGAAAGGCAATGAACTCCCAACTCCCCAGCATTCGCTGGCTGGGGAATTCTGGGAGTTGAAGTCCAGACATCTTCAAGTGGCCAAGGTTGAGAAACACTGGTTCAGAGTGTAAGAACTAACAAAGTTTAAAAAGTAAAATAAGCTGCATAGACTGAAGGCTCCAGCATAAATTCATTACAGCCAGTTTCCCAATCCATTGGCCTCTGGATTTCCTGACCTCTCCTTCCTACTATTGGAAGGGAAATCAATCTGGTTCGGTTGAAAGCTGGGAGAAAAGCACTGGGAATAAAACGGAGGCGGATTGGAAAGAGGCCGTGTTTACTGATGAACGGAACCACCGGGGTTTTTTGTTCTGGTGCAGCTGATGAAATGGAGCTGAGAGTGGCACCTTCTGGATTCCTATGGGGCCATGTGGGAGTCATGGCTGGCTCTACAAGCAAAAGGGGAAATGCAAATCCCAGGTGTCTGAGCTAATTTTGTCAACCTTTTGTTTGTTGCTTATCTGACTTTTTCTGTCACGACCCAGTATTTCTGAACGGATTACCAAATCTGCATTTCTAAAAGCTGGCCACCTCATTTTTGGCTTGGGGCAGGGAAACCAGGGCTGGTTTCCGCCTCTTTTAAGGTTTTCCCGTCCCCCACATTTCTACTTTTGGGGGAAATATTCTATCCTGCTTTTTTAAAATAGTTCATTTTTGGAGGGGGGGGGGGGCTTCCCACACTACTTTTAGTATAACCCAACAGTGAGGAATGCGAACCAAAACCCTTGTGTGTATCCATAATAAGCAGCCTTTGATAAACTTCCCTTCTGAAAATCTTAAAACTTTTTAAACAATTTAAGGTACCTATGACTGTTTATTGTGACAGCAAGTTCCAGCTTAAAAGTAAACTCCAGTCAGTCGGCTTCATTGGATAAAAGTGCTTTGTCAGGAGGCAACTCCACTTTGTTTTTTCAGGGTAGCTTTGAGGACACTGATATGCCTCAAGGATTCCCTAAAAGGATGCAAATGACCAGCTGTCTGCAAAGAAGATAAATCCTTCCACCACCATCAGCCCCACCATCCAGTAAGAGCTGAGGATGAGAAGCAAAACATCTTCAAAGAAAAAAAGCCCAGTTGCCTCCTGAAAAAGCACTTTGGGGACAGTTCTTTTAAAATTTAAGACATTGATCGGATTATATTCTATGGCTTGTGTTTGCATTATATTGCATTCCAATGTGACATCATTTTCGCCCAAGGCTCTGGCTATTTCAATCCCAGTGGCTGATACTCATGTGAGTGGGGCTGTGTCCGCCGCTCATGCACGTGTGCCAACCCCCCCCCATTCAAACTGCAAATAGGCCGTAGATAAGTGGGCTGCAGTCTACAGGTTGGGAACCCCTGATACTGTATAATGCCGTGGCATGCGGAGCCATTTGTTAGGGCACGCGAGGTATTGCCCTGTCAGTTGGCCAGTGCGCATGCGCGCAGTGGTCAGCTGACTTCAGCCTTCTTTTGAGGCCATTTTTCGCCCTCCGGAGGCTTCCTTGAAGCCCCCGGAGCGCGAAAAACAAGCCCTACAGGCAAACCGGAGTTTCAGTTTCCTGAAGGCTCCGGAGGGTGAAAAATGGCCCTACGGACAAACTGGAAGTCACTCCTGATTTGGTCATAGGGCCATTTTCCGCCCTCCAGAGCCTTCAGGGAAGCTGCCTGAAGGCTCCAGAGGGTGAAAATCGGCCCTATGGACAAACCAGAAGTCACCATTCCTGAACTTTTGGGTTCCCCGTATGTCCGTTTTTTGTCCTCCGGGGCCTTCAGGCTTTCCTGAAGGCTCCGGAGGGCAAAAACCGGCCCTACAAGCAAACTGGAAGCCTGAAGGCTCCGGAGATGGAAAATTGGCCCTATGGACAAACGGGAAGTCACTATTCCCGAACTTCCGGGTTCCCTCTAGGTCCGTTTTTCACCCTCCAGAGGCTTCAGGGAAGCTTGTGAAGCCTCCAGAGGGTCTCTGGGGGAGGCTGTTTTCGGCCTCCCCAGGCTCGTAGAAAGCCTCTGGAGCCTGGGGAGGGCAAAAAAAAATACCAAAAGTATGCTGGTTGTGTGCACAGGTGTGTGTGTGTCACGCACATAGCATGGGTGTGGCACACTTGCACATGACTCCTCCTGCTTTTGGCACGGGACCCCAAAAAAGGTTAGCCATCACTGGTATAGTGTATAGGTAGTCCTCAACATACAACCGTAATGGAACCCAAAATTTTTGTTGCTAAGCAAGTAATTTTGCAACCTTTTTTACTACAATTTTCAGCAAATGACTGGAGTTAAGTGAATCATATTCAAAGGTTACAAATGGTTATTACGTGACTCAGGGACAGTGTAACTGTCATCAATACATGCCAAGTGTAAAGTGCCCAGACTTTGACCATGGGGATGCTTTAAGAGTTATAAGCCATTGTAACTTTGGCCACTAAATTTGTAAGGTCACTACTATCTATATAGAAGTATACCAACTTCATTTTAGTCACTTTATAACAGGTAGTTGCATACTAACCAGAAATGCTGATTATTCTCACTCCTTTTTCCTATGTACAGTAGTTCGGAGATAATGCAGTTGAAGCTACTCTCCATTTTGTATCATGCATCAAGGATTAAATTTCCATAACAATCACAATAAAAATCCTGCAATATCTCAATACTAATAAAAGTGATATGAAACTTGGATAGTCTTTGTTAAGAAAATATTAGTCAATAATAAGAATATTGATTCAAAATTATTTCAATAATATTTAATAATCAAGAAGCCTAACCAGTTAAACCAGCCAGTTTAAGGTTATTGCAAGAAACAATTCTTCAACTAACCTGATAGGTTGACCGTGATTGAGTCTATTGTGTACATTCTAATCATTATAAATTTACTGAGCGTTACCACCCCATTTATTTACATTTTAAATTAATAGATTCATATACTTAGAATGCCAACAAGTTCAATTCCCCTTTCAATGTGTGAATTCCCTAAATGTTTCCCTAAGTGTTATTTGACATGTTTGTATTGAACTCCCCCATTGGAATGAACTTTGAAGAAGCAAGATAGGAGGAGTACTGATGCCTTTGAATGGTGGGGTTTTTTTTGGGGGGGGGGGAATGGTGGATTCCTGAAAATACTGTGGACAGCCAAGAAAATAAATTGATGGTTTATTGAACAAATGATTAGATTCAAATCTGTCCAACCAGATAAATGTGTAGGATTGTGTCAGGGTTCCAAATAGCATCCAAAAGTAAATTGATTGACAAATTAATTTCCTGAGCAACATTCTAATGCCTTCCATTTGAAGGAAGAAAAGAGGGTAACGCGCAGCAAGATGGATGGACTCTTTACAGTTATGATGATGGATGCACCATTAGGAGAGTGGAAAGAACAGCTGAAGAGAGATCTCACAAGAGAAAATCTATGGAGGCTGAGCTCACCCGGAAACTGGATTATATGCTGATTGGACCAGGTGACTGGAGACTCTTGGGGGGGGGGGAGTGACAAAGTTTGACTTTTAATTATTTAATGATTTTAATGATTTTTAATTATTTTATTTATTTTTTTAGCTTGCTGCCACACTGCTGATTCATATTTAAGTGTTTGTCCAAGAGGACTCTAAGATCCCTTTCACAGTTATTGCTAATGAGCCAGGTTTCACATATACCTATATATTTAGTTTTTCCTGCCTAAGTGTAAGACCTTCCTTTTCTCTACATTGAAAATTATTTTGTTGGATTGGCCCATGTTCACGTCTATTGAGATCCATCTGGATCTTGGGCGCATCGTCTGGGGTGTTGCGTATTGCAGCCAGCTTAATGTCATCTGCAAATTTGATGAGTTCCCTCTTCTATTCCCTCATCTAAATCTTTAGGAATGTATTGAAGAGTCCTGGGCCTAAAATGGAATCTTGATGTACCCAACTGTTTCCTTCCTTCCTTCCATGTAGACGTAGTTCCATTGATGAATACAGAGTGTGAGTGTGATTTGTCAGCCAGTTATAGATCCATCAGCTGGTGATGCTATCTATCCCACATTTTTCTAACTTACCAAGAAGTAGGCTGTGATCTACTTTATCAAAGTGGACAATCAAGGGTTAGGAGTGACATGATAGCTGTCTTCCAGTACTTGAGGGGCTACTAGAGAGAGGAGGGGATGATCTATTCTCCAAAGCACCAGAGGGCAGGACAAGAAGCTTATTAAAGAGAGATCCAACCTAGAATTAAGGATAGATTTTCTGACAGGGAGAAGAATCACTCAGCAGAACAGCTTGCTCCCCAGAGCTGTGGGTGCTCCATTCCTGAAAGTTTCAAGAAAAGATTGGACATCCATCTGTCCAGGATGGTATAAAGTCTCCTATCTGGGATGGAGTTGGGGGGTTGGAATAAAAGACCTCCAAGTTCCCTTCAAGCCCTATGATTCTGTGTTTTGAATAATTGTTAAGGCTACCCAATTCCAAAAACCCTGCCGTTTT